GCACACATCCATAAGTCTGATTTCCCAATATAATTTTATGTAAAACTATAAGTAGATTTGTATAACATATTTCAAGATAAAATGATCAAAAACGTATTCATAAAAAGATGAAGTCAGAATTGGAGTTGACTTTGAAAGAATTCCTGCACCATTCTTAGGAATTTCAGGAAAAATGACCTCCTTTGAGTAATCTCAGCCTCCAAGAAATGGACACAAATCCATCTTCCTTTTAAAAATACCTAAATTATAATTGACTTAAGACTTAGAAAATTACACATTATCTATCATACTGAGTATGACGTATCTGAAGTATACATAGATAGCCTCATTAACATTAAACTCTCATGCTGTGGGTGTAAGAGAGAGAAAATAGTGTTTATTTCACTATTTAGAGAGAGGTAACTCTGGTCTAGGACCACATGGATCAAAAATTGAAGAGAATCTTATTTCATTAAAAAGTGCCATTCATAGTTACTGATAGTCACAGACAGTATATTAAACTTAGGCTGAAGAAAATCATAAATTCATGTTCACCAAACTTCTTCACACCTCAGTGCCTGCCCTGCTCACTGGGTCGCTCCTGTAGCCCACCCTCCCCCCTCACTCTGCTCCAATCTCCCATCTTCCCTGCCGCTCGTGCCCCTCCTAGCTGTTGCATCTTTCTTCCTTAAATAATAAAACCAAGTCATAGAATCCCTAAGTCTATAAGCCATCACCTCTTCCTTCCTGTTAAAGCACATAATCAGTCTCCAGATTTGCTTAGGATTTCATCCCTTTTCGACTTTTTGCCCCTTTGAAAAACAGCATCTTCAGCCCCTCCGTCTACTGGCTCACTCCCCTTCCACCCAAATATACAGGAAAGTTCTAGTATTTCTTTTGTTTAAAAAAAGGGAGAAGTCTCATTCTCACCACAAAAAAGGAATGCTGCGTATGTGACACGATAGACGTAAGTGGTCATCGCATTGCAATACTTAAGTGTATCAAATCAACGGGACGTACACCTTAAACTTACACAATGTGGTATGTCAACTTTATGTCAATTAAGAAAAAAAGTCTCCTTCAATCTCATCCCCTCTGTTGCCTCAATCTCTGCTCCCTTCCCAGCTCAGCTTATCAAGAGCTGCCATCACGCGCCAGCTCTGCCTTCTCCCTTCATACTCGACACAGTCCTATGGAGGGCACGTGCATCCCTCTTCATGCTCCACCGTGACCTTCAGTGCGGGGCCATTCTCTGACCTCTGTCATGTAAAGCCCAGAAAAAGGGCTCTGCCACTCAGGCTGCCCAGGTCCAGCTTCCAGCTCTGCTGCTGCACTGCATTAGTTTGGGCAAGTGACCTAACTTCTTTGTGCTTCGGTTAATGCACCTGTGAAGACTCAAAGATTTTTATGAACATTTAGTGAGTTAATGCCTATGCTGCATTAAAACATTACACATATATGTAAAATCTCTATGCTAACAAATCCCCTATTCAGTTCAGACGTCTTCTCTGATCTCCACTTTCAAAATTCCAGCTACCTTCATGGCAGGTCCACTATTTGTGAGTGACAGGCATCTCTCATTCAATGTGCTCCAACTCAACTCTTTTTTTTTAGTGGAACCTGCCTACAACAATCTTTTAAATTTCTTTTCCTGTAAGGCTACAGAAAATCTGCACATAGTCAAGTCAATTAATTTTCATAATTAAAATATCCCCATCCACATGGCCAAGGTCTCCAAGATTACCATGGTGACTACATGGTACATCACATTCTCTTCCACAGGTGCATTTTCTTGTGAGTCTGTGAGGTTATGGTCAATTTTTTTCTGGAAATATTAGCTTCTCACAAACTAACTGCCTCCTTGATCAGTGAATGCCATGACATTTTATTAGGTTCCGTGAGGAAGGAAGGTGAAACACGCATTAAATTAGCAATTCTGCTCTCTCATGACATATATTCTCACAACATGTAGGTCTTGTCAGCCTGCGTGGTAATGTCTTGTGTCATTCATTCTGATAAGCACTCCATCAATTCTCAAGAAAAACTGCAACAGCAGGGAAGAGCTGGAAGGAATTATTCTAATTTTCACACTTAGGCTTGAAATTCCATAATCATGAAGTTCATCCTCAAACAGGAGAAATTCAAAAAACTTAATCTGTTCTCTGACTTTCAATTTCTCTGTATCCATATGATCTGCTGTAGGTACAACCTTTAAGTTAAATGATTCTCCAAGTAATGTTCCTTTATAATCTGTTGTACAGGCCCAGTCATGGGTTTAATAATCTCCTTGTAGTATTCATCCTCCATCCAGCTTTCCTGCCATTCTTGCGCACAGGCTACTTTGAGCATTCCTTGGTAGTGGTTTACACATCTTAAAGCACCTGTAGCATTGAACTCAATCCCAAAGCCAGATCAGTGCTGAATTCTTAAAACATTGTCTCTAAATATCATTTCAGGGGGAGATGGCATATGCAATTCATCATCTAACTTCTCTACATCTGCCTACATGATGTGGGTCTTGACCATCTTCAGCTTCCAGGACATGAAGGAGAGGTCTCTGTGGCTGTTCCAGAAGCTGCAGATCATCACACAGTGTGGTCCACATGGAAGAGGCTGGGGCAGAAGCAGCAGTCGACACAGACTCCCCCACCTTGCTGCAGCCCAGCCCCCTTAGCTTCCACACATTACCACCCAACCCAACTCTCTCTCTTCCTTCCATCACAAACAGAGCCTCCTCCAGTTTTCTCTCTGTCACTCAATGGCACTCCATCCACAATTTCCAAATCCCCAAGCGCCTAAGTTATCTTTGATATATCCACTTTTCTCCACCTCATCCAATTTACCGCTAACTATCACTTTCAAGGTCTGTTTCACAGACATTAATGTCTCTCCACCTCCACTGCTCCTAGTCTATTATCTAAGGAGTCCTTCACCTTCACTACCCAGCTGATTTCTGAAATATGCTTTTACTCCTGCCCTGGCCCACTATCCTCCAATCCCTGTGATCTCCTCAAAACATACATGGGATCAGGCCACTGAATAAAAGTCTTTATAAGACCTCAACACATCAACAACAGAATAAAGATGCTTTCACATGGCTGATAGATCCTCTAAGAATGGGCCCTGCCTAAATTTCCTCTTTGATTTCTATTCCCAGACTCACAGAATCTTCCTTCAGGTGCCTCAATGCATTAAATTCTTACCTCCTTCATAAAGAGTAGCCCCTCGGACCTTTGCAAAAGCTATTCCTTTTATCAGAAATCTCCATTGCTACATTCTTTATTCTTCTCATTCATTACTTTATCATAGTTTGTAATGTCATATTTTCGAAGTCTGTTTTTCCATGTCAGGCTCCCCACCTCAGCTCTGTTTTATGAGGACAGAGGCCACATCTGTTCTTCTCACATCTGTATACCCAGAACCCATCACACAGAAGGTGCCCAACAATGATATTTAATTAAATGTATTTTTTTAGCTCTCTACTATAAGGCTTAGTGTAAAGTACACTTGGATTTTCTCCATAGTTACTATATATGAATTACTAAAAGTTCCTTCTCATTCCTACCAAGGGCAGCTTTGCATGGCTCTCATCATCTCCAAAATTAGAAGAGTGAGAGGAGTAGTACTGTCTAACACAGAAACTGAGAATGAATGAATGACTGGAATATATGACATGCATAGTTCTAAGAAACCAGTTTACCTAGACATTCAAAATACAGTGCCATGTGTCACAATGGATTCAAAGTAAACATGTTTCAACCCTTAAGAAGCTTGAAATATAACAAAAAAATTAGAAATACGCAAGTAGCTTAATGGGAAAAGGAATATGAAATAAGAGATACAATTTAAAGGAGAAGCCTAGAATTCATGCAGAGAGCGGTATCTGAGCTGAGTCTCTAGGGTAGCTCGGGTGTCAATAGGCAAGAGGTAGGGTGGGAAGGACTATGTGAGCAAAGCACAACCACAGGAGAAAGAAAGACAGTTTGGCTGGAATACCAGGTACATACAGTACAGTAATAATAGAGAGGCAAGAAAAATGGATTAGGAAACACATGGAAAAATTATCACCTTTTAAAACTCCTGTGTCTACTGTCTAGTTCATGAGACTATGAGCTTCTGGACGCCAGAGATATCTACTCATCTGTGACTCCCCAGTCCATCATACCACTCGCATAGTATGTGATTATATACTCCCAATGGTCCATTAAACAGTCCAAGCTCCCTCCTGCTTACCTAGGAAACTATTCCAACAGATACTATTCTACAGGAAGCAGTGGTGTGCCAGCCACGTGCTGACCTATGTACGCATTCTTAGGCAATTTACAAGGTAAAGAAATAATTCAGTATATAGTCATTTTTGTAGACTTTATCTTTTCCATGTTTGTGATGTTTATTTTGTTAGTTCCATAAGGGTAAGGAATACATATATTGAATTCAATATATTAAAATGTATATGTTATGTTTTAATCAATAAAACCCACATTCAGATTATTAATCAGCGCTTGTTGATTATCAAATAACAGCACTACCATAGGACAAGTATTTTCATTCATGACAGGTCTGCCCTCTCCTACCCCCCAAAAAACACAATCAAACCAGCATTAGACAATGAGGGGCAGGCTTTGAGGTTCACATGCTCTAGTCCCTCCTTTAGGTTTCTCAGTCATCAGGACGAGGCTGAAGCTTCAGGGATTCAACATAGTGAAGTACAAAAGGGGGTGTCTGCATATCCCTGTTTCTCTCTCTCACGGCACCTTTCCTTATGAAGGCCGATATTAAAGTAAAACTTGAAATGAAAGGCTACTCTGGTGGGAAATGTAAGGATTGCAGGTATTTTTCAACACTATGAACATTTTAGAAAACAATTTCACTTGTAAATTAACAGAACTTGAGAAAGGGTCATAAATTTTATCAAAATAAAATTCATATTGCCGAATTATCCAGATCACCATGAGAGTAACTGGTCTGTCTGATAGGTTTACGTAACTACGTGCCCATTTTCTTACTTAATCTGCACATACCCGGGGGAAGGCGGGCTGTTCCTGTTCTTTCAGGCTATTGAAACGCAGCTCTGATGACTCTGTCACTAAGTGGCTGAGTGGGTCTAAAATTATCTCCCAAAATCCCATCACAGCCTTCCACAAGTTCTGCCCCCTTAACATGTGTCCTCAGCCTTCGAAATTCTTCAATCTGAAAAATAAAGGCAGGAAAAAATGGATTAGTCATCTATCAGACCTTAACAAAATTGGTGTTTCATAAGTGACTTAAAATATGCATAAGCTCCAATTAAAAAGGAGAAAATTAAAGCTAAACTTCAAAAAGAGGAAAATAGACTTAATTCTTCCAGACCTAAGACATTAGACATGGTCCTTGCAAGAGAAATAAAGACAACAGAAGTAGAGATAGAAAGGTCCACCCAATAGCCATGGAAACCTGCTGGATTTATTAATGTAAAATGATATGACCTCTCTCAAAAATCTTTCATGACTGCCTGTCGGATAATAAGAGAGAGTGAATGAATAAATGTGTTCTTATGGGCTTCCCAAGTATATTATTAATTAATGAGTTCTCATATTACTGTATATTAACACTGATTAAATGTTAAATTTATTAGATGAAGGGTTCCTTCATCAAATGATTCTTTTGTAGCTCTCCCAGCCCTTTGGGATCACAGGTCCAAAGACTAATTCTGATTTTCCAAAAGTTTTGGCCCAACTTCCCCTCTTGGAAATATCGATTTTCAAGTTTGTTTCCCCTTCTCAGGTGGCCTCTTGAGGCCCTGTGGTTTCCCATTACCTGTGGAGAGGCTGTTCCCACAGTCCCCAGGGAACTTTCCCACCTGCCTCACTGCGGTTTCTCTGACCTGCGAGTCTGCACCCCGTAAGAGCCTGCAGCCAGCCCGACGTGACCTTCTGAGAAGTGTTTAAGCAACAAGCAAACACATGAGGAATGTCGCCAGGCTCATTCCCATCTATTGGTTCATTTACCTACCAGGCTCAGTGTCTATTATTTCTTTTAAATGCCACATAATCACATGACACAGACATTCTTCATTTTTTACACAAAAGGAGAAACTGAGACTAAGGAGGTTAGGAAAGTTTCCAATTAACCACACGTCTGACAATTCCAAGTCCACCTGCTCTTTTCTGAGCTCCACAGTGACCTCTTCAGAAATCCTGGTCCGATCAGTACAACCTATATCCTGCATAATCCCAGGATGTCAAACAAATGTGATTTGATCAGCATCAATCCACCAAAAGTTCAACATCTGTGTATCAGAGGGTTTTATCTACAAAGGTTCTTTATACAGCACAGCCATACAATTCTTCCATTCATAAAGTGAAATAAAATGCAAGGAATCAACTAATTATCAACTAATAAAAATCTAAAAACTCCTATGGACTTTGGAGGGCCCACAAAACCCCTGAATGATATACAAAATTTCACATGCATATTTTTTCTGTAAAAGTTCCCTGATTCAAAAAGAGTTGAATCTCTCAAGATGCTAATTCAATCCAGGCATATACATGTTGGGAAATAAAGTTGGGGAAAAAATTAAATGGCTTGTTAGATTAGAACCCAGGTTAGAAATCTGACTTCTAATGTTATATTTCTCCATGTTTCCAATACTGTTTGATTTCCTAAATCTGAGCCAACTCGAACTGTCCCGTTTTATTTTTTGGTAATATCTGTATTTATATAGAAGTGCCAGTCAGATAAGAAATTAGCTCTTTAATTTACATGACAGTTTATCTCTAGACCTCCTCAGAGTCTTAAGAGTGGGAATATGAGTAACACTTACAGCATGCCATGGCAGGACAATATCTAGAGCCAAGGCTGCCTGAGAATCCCCTGTCCTTATTTGTGGAATGTATTCTTACATAGTTTTCCCTAAGTGGAGAGAGGAAAGGAACCTGTTCAGTCAGAGGATCCTATGCTTTTTCAAAAAGAAGAACATGAAGGTGAAGGCAGTAGACTTGGCATCAAAAGGCCAGTTCTCATCCTGGCTCTGCCACATGCAGCTCAAACAACCAAATTACTTCACCTCTTTAAGCCTCAGTTTCCAGATGTGTACAATGGAGATGAAATAACAGTATTGACAAAGATGGTGTTAGAAGTAAATAGGTTAATTCCTGAAAATTATTCAGCATTATTCCAAGCACATAGAAGTATTTGATAACTACTAGCCAACTTCTTTTGAGGTCAAACCTTTAGCATTAGGGATAAATATTTAACAAAAAAGTAGACTGGACATAATAAACCAATTGACTAAGAAAATGGAAAGTCATCTCTTCTCACATTCACTTTACATGTAATCATATGTCCTGAGCAGCACAGACTAGAAACTTGACTGCTTCAACATATTTTTTTTAAATACTCCATTTTTATTGACTTTGAAGTTCATTTTAAAGCTAGGTTAATTTATATTTACGTATTCTGAACTGAAGATAAATCTTTCAAGCTCCAGGCCTCAGCCTGAGGCACCTTCGATGAAAACAGCTTCTAGACAAGATGATCTGAATCAACAGTGAGCCAGCCTCAAGTCACTGTGTTCTTAGAGAGAACTATTTCACAAGAAATGGTTTCCTCTGATCATAGCAACACTTTGAAGACTTCAAACATCAACGGAGACTGAGGGAAAAACACATCTTTCTGAAATGCCAATTTTTTTCTGAAGTAACCACCCCTCAAACCCTCAGTCACTTCAAATGGTTTCAAGTGCACACAGTGTTATCCCTCACTGAAATGAGAGAGAGTGAGAAATGAACAGAAAGTATCTCAGGATAAAAGTCTTCAATAAAACTCAAATGTCAGGGCAGTACAGAGGTAATTATTATCATATATATCAGTATGTATGATTTCATCAATTTTTAATGCTACTCTACTTAAACATGGTATTTGTTTTTAACCAAGTTAAGAGAGAAAGATACAACAGAGATCCAACGCTTCAGAGTCAAATCCTCATCTTCAGAAGGCAAGAGTTGAATAGTCACTGTTCCCTGAACTCGGGTTGCTCTCCAAATGGTCTAAGTAAGACATTTATTCCAACCTTCACTGATTCATGAACCAGATTTTTCAAAGTTCAGCTTTAATGCTGCTTTCTTTATGAGTGCATTTAAAGGGCTAATGTCCAGGGTTTGAGGTTTGGCACTAATTATTTTTAGGAGTTCCCAAGATCCTATGTACCTCCGCTAACTGACTTATTATAACTTACATCTCATGTGTTATCATGTTAAAAGAGAAAAAAAACACATAAAAATTGGTGTCCTCATTCTATTTTCTTCATCAGATTATGATGATATATGAATTGCAATAATATAATTCCTTATGGTAGCAATCAAAAGAGTCAAAAGCAAACTGTACTTAAACAGTATGCATACATGTCTATATAATGAGATTTTATATACTATACACCTTCCAAGTACTGCAGTCTTGTTTGTATTTCATTTTCTTCTACCCCATTTGTGTTCCTTTCTCAAATCATTGCTTCCCCTTTCTTACTGACCTCTTGTTCATAAACCAACCCTCATTTTATCATTTACTTCTTAATCTGATCTTCTTTACTTTTTGAGGAAGAACTTAGAGATGAGAACGTTTTTTCCCCAGAACATAGAAGTTAACTTTCCTCTTATTCCAATCCCAGCCTGGTCTCTGCCACTGTCTCCCCATCACCACTTTAGGAAAGTTACTGATGAGCCACACATACTGAAACTTACTCAAGATTTACAGATTACAGAGTATATGGCCACAGGACACATGCTCTCTATCATGAAAGACACTTGAATAAATGGACACAAAATTTCCCACAAGTACCTAAAAATAGTACATTTTAAGAAAGGAAAGACAGAGTTTCTGAAGAGAGAGCAAGTCTTAAAACTGCACAATCCTAGTCGTCCTAGGTGGACACTGAGCATTTGAAATGTGCTGAATAGAAGCTGAAAGTCCATGTGAAGAAAAGAATGTAAAAAAAAAATCACTGATGTGATTACATCCACGTTAAAATGATACTTTGAATATACTGTTTTAAAATAGACTACTTTAATTTCACCTTTCATTTTGATTTTTTTACTGTGGCTACTAGAAATTTTCATCTTACATAGTTGGCTCATACCATGTCGTGTTTCTATAGGATGGGAGCCGACTAGTGCTGCCCTTTAGAAACAGCATTCTGGTGTTAGAGTGGAAGTTACACATCAAGATGAATGCCAATAGATAAGAAACAGTAGTTCTCAAAGTGTGTTTCCTAGAAGAAGTTCCTGCACCAGACCTATTGAATCAGCAACTCTAGGGTGAGGCCCAGCAATCTGTGCTTTAACGAGCCCTTCAGGAGATTGTTTGAGAATCACAGATACAGAAGAAGAAAAAAAAAAAACCCACAATAATTGTTCCAAAGCACTTGAAATCATTTTCACACATGACCACACTGTGGCCCTGCAACAACTTGGTTTTAGGGTTAACAGTCCCTCAAATCCTATGTGGAGCACAAAGACAAGACAGGCCTCCTGGATGTAATCAGCCCCCCTAGCTGTGCAGGCCCAGATGTGCTCCCAGATCCCACGGGCCACACACATGCTGTGCTTTAACTCGGGTGCTGGGAGCTAAGAAGAGTCCCACTTCTCGATGCACAGGAAATGTGGGATGGGGAAAGATGAAGGGGAGGTAAGACTGAAAAGAGATATAATTGAAAATGGTTCTCCAAGTTCTAACAGACATATAACCACACCATGAAAAATAATTAATATATTCCATTGGTGTTACTTGATGTTGAAAGGGACAGAAAATGACAAAGACAGACACATCTACCTCGAGAAAGTAGGTAAGTTAGGAAATAGAAATAGCCTTGGCTGGTGTGGCTCAGTGGATTGAGTGCCAGCTTGTTGAACCGAGAGGTCGCCAGTTCTATTCTCAGTCAGGGCACATGCCTGGGTTGTGGGCCAGGTCCTCAGTTTGGGGTGTGTGAGAGGCAACCAATCTATGTACCTATCACACATCAATGTTTCTTTCCCTCTCTTTCTCCTTCCCTTACCCCCTCTCTAAAAATAAATGAATAAAATCTTTTTTAAAAAAGAAATAGATTAGTAAGGGAAAAATGCAGAAAAGGGGGGGTAAGCAGGAAAAACAGAGTAAAAAACTTAATTATCAATCCATGACTCTGCATGTGTGTTCATGTGTGTGCACACATATTTGCACATATGCAATTATATTCAAATATGACATTTTATCAGTTCTGAGTATTATTCATATTTTAATGGCTCTGTGAAGTCAGGATGTGTTTCACAATTTCTGTTGTCAGATCTGATGAAATTATTATGTGCATGGAATCTCACTTCCAAACATAACAATATAGCTGAAAAATTTTTTACTTTGGCTTTCTAATGCTTAGAACACTGTTGATCTTAAACTAGTTCAATAGTTGTTGATCATAAAAAAAGAAAATTACACTCATTCAAATTCATCCAATTGTGTGTTTTTTCCCTAACATATGGTATGCTTGCTAACCAAGCACAATATAAAAAAATTGAACTAAGCAGGTGCTTCCAATTCCATACTCTAGAATTCTTTGTGCTCAGGAAGATGTAAATGTTCCATGCCACGTTTAATTGTCAACCATACACTTCAGCAGAAAACTTCTCCTTGAATCAAGCTGCTGTGTACTTCACAGGGAAGCATTATGACTGAGAGCTTTATTTTTTTTAATGTTGCTAGTGCAGACATTACTATCCTGTGGCAGATGATGTATTCAAGATAGCAATTGCTTCCATCATAACACCCAGCAGCTTAATCACATATGTTAACCCTATAAGATGAAACATTCTTTTCTTCAATACAACATTTTATACTTCTCAATATCATCAGTGATGTAGAGGCTCCACCTGCCATTGACTATTCCTTTTACTGTATATATCATTTCTCTCTCTCTCTCTCTCTCTCTCTCTCTCTGCTCTTCTTTAAGTGCAATAATATGAGACCTCAATTTTTCATTTAGATGCTCATTTTTACTGTCCTCTCCAGACATTTTTCTATTTTTGCTCTGTTTTCTGTGAAATTATATGAACAGTAACAGTGAAACATTCAAGGACAGACTGATTTATATTCTCTTAAGATTATAGTCAATAATTTTTTCTAACTCACTCTAAATTGTCTTTCATTGTACATGCATGTGTCTGAGTATGTGTGTACACTTCTTAACATCAGTGCCTGTTTTAACATCTGCCCTCTGAACAGATGCTATAGGGAGCTTTGTGCTAATCGCATCTAAATCTTTTCTCTTGAAAAGCTGTAGCTAATTGGAAAGTCATCTATTTTCTAGAGCAGTTGAGATTATTACTTCCAATACACATTCCCTTGGCTGAGGCTCCCCTTTAGGAAGACACAGCCGATTGTCGAGGAGCACTTAGAGCGCCCCCGCAGAGCCCAAGGTAGGAAGGCAGGTGACCAAAAGTGGGGCTACAGAACAGTCCAGAGCTTTCCGGGATATTCTTTCTAACTCCCTCACCCTTCTTCATACAGATTTTTTTCTTGTGCTAGTATAGGAAGAACTATTTCAAAGCCCATGTGTGACTTACAGAAAAAGAGAAAAACAGCATTGTCACTTTACTTCCAAGACCTTTTCCCTCTCCATGCTTGGGAAAACCCACATCAAAGGGTAACTAGACTAATCAAAAGTTTGACTATTTCAGTGACTTCTATTTACTTCATAAAAACTGACTTTTAAAATACAGATCATAGAGGATAGCTGGGTTTGGTTCATCCTTGACCTTTCAATTGCTTTCATGAGCTCGAGATATTTAACTTTCATCTGCAAAGATGTGACTGATCTAAAGAGAGTTCACACATTAAACAGACATTTCCCTTTTAGAGACACAAAATTTAACCTTTAACTCAGAACTTCCTTCGAAAAGGTTTAAGGTACCACACTCACCTGTAGTTGGGATATAGTTAAAGGGTATCGGAATAATATCCAAGTAACACCTTCACTGCAAGGGGGAATAGTAAGAGAGCCTTCGTACACCCAGTAATCGCGCAGCAGAGGGTCTGTGCAACCATGGGGACATGTCACAAAAAGGCAAGTTAATTAGTCACAATTTTAAAGACTCTAACAATAATTTTCAAAATTACAAATTGTCCAAATAACATTTCTCATACTGATGTTATTTTTAAACTAGAGCCTCACATGTATTTTTAAACTAATCAACATGAAAATAATTGATAGAAAACAGCATGAGTCCTCTATTATTTATAGATTTCTATAGACAGTTTACTATGCATATCCAAATACAGTTGTACAAACTTGATATATAAACTTAATAAACTTGATAAAATTTGATATGTACATATATATCAAATTTATTCACTGTAGAGGAAATGTATCCATTTTTTTTTTACTTTATTAGAGGGTTTATTTAATTATACAAAATATTTATTGAAAGCTTGCTACATGTAAAGTACTATTCTACATTAACTCATTTAATCCTTAAAACAAACCAACGAGATAAGTCCTAGCATTAGCCCCATTTTTAAGATGGGAAAAGCAAATCACAGAGGACTATTTAATTTGCCCAAGGTCACAGCGCTAATAACTGGCAGAGCCAGGACTCGAACCAAAGCAATCTAGTTTCAAAGTCAGTGTTTTTAACCATTCTGTTCTAGCTACCTCTATCTATATTGCTTCACCAGCAGTGAAATTTAAAAAGCATATTATGATAGGCTAAAAGAAGTTATTCTTATGAAATCTTTTAGCTCTGCATCAAAGGAATTCATGATTGAATATGATGAATAAATGTTTGGTTTCTTGTAAAACAATTACACGTAGAAAGTAGAAGATACAATTCATCAACCTATTTGGTTTTGTTTGAAATATTAAGAAATTTCACATAATTTAGGCAAAAATTTTTGAAGCCCAAAATTTTGTACAAATCGACCTTTAACTGCAAATTATGTTGAGTATTTTATACACAATTGTTACCTGCTCGGGCAGACCTAAATAATCATTGCAAAGAGGTTACCTTATAAAATTTGATGTAGTTTATTTCACTCTAGAAGTTAATAAAAACTTCACTGATAAATTTTAGAAGTATACCAAGGTTACGTTATGTTATTATGCTGGTGCAATTTTTACAAAAAGGAAACCCTTCATGGATTAATGGAACTAGTGGTAAAATAATTTTATTTCAAAACCTTTTGAAATAAATAAATAAATACATACACACAGATATATATATATATATATATATATATATTCACACACACATATTGTAAAGAAACTATATTAACTAATCATATATATAGTTATATATTCTGAAGAAAGCAATGTACTCATATCCACAGTTAAAATTCATCTCATGCAATCAGATGCACACTTACCTGGTAATAAAGTGTTAGGATTAAAGCAGGGTATTATTTTGGACTTCCCCTAAAAAAGAAGAAAGTTACCCCATGTTAACAAAATTCCTTAATTTTATAATAAGAGAGTTATTAGCACTAAAAATCCAAGTTGAGGTTTTCTCTGAATGACATTATCGGACCCCACAAATCTATGTCTCATTCCGTCTTCTCACTAGGGCGACAGTGGCTGGTTCCAACGAGACCCCTGCTCTGAGTCTATGCTATTTTCTATCACAGTTCAGTTATCCCTGTAATTCCTGGTGTAAAATTTACAACTGTCAGTCTAGTATCTTTCCTACTTTTCCTGCTCCTAGCACATCCAGAGCAGAGACCTGGACCTTGGAGGTAAATGCCTGAACCCTGGTGTAATTATTTTGATTTGACTTTCGTTCTGGTACTTTGATCTTGGCATTATAACCTGCCTCCCAAATTCTTATTTTGTCCCATTTGGACTTGGTAATTCATCTCTAGGATCTATCTCCTCCTCCAGAAAGGGAGATCTGACACTCAAATGAAAACGTTCAATTTTAGTCAACCTTTATCAAAGCAAGATTTAATTTTCAACAAAAATATTTGTGCCCTTATTCAATAATTCATATTAATGATCACTATTTTAAATAGTGCTTTTTATTTTTTGAAGCCTTTTGTATGCCTTTATTTCATTTCATTTTTTGTAATCTGGTGACTGAGATTTGATTTTATTTTATTTTTTAACATTAAAATTATTAATTTTTAAATTTTTTAAATTTATTTTTATTGTATTTTTTTTCCCATTTAATTGCTCAGGGCTTTGAGGTAGACAGCCTTGTTACGGCACCTGGATATCTCTTACCAGATTTCTCTGTGAATGCAGACATAATAGGGAACATTAATGCATAACTCTATGTCTCTTCCTTACTTTTAGAGACTAGTTGACATGTTAAAGAATCCAGCTTACTTGCCTCCCACCGTCCCCCTGAATTCCATAATGACTTACATCGTATTAGCTGAAGAAATAAAGAAAAATTTCACCACCTATTTTTATCAGGTAAATGTCAGTCAAAATGTGTCCTCACACCCTTTTACCAGTTTCTTTGACTGCTCTTCACCTTCCCTTGGTACTTGGGTTCATCCTGAGTTTGCTCAGATCTCTGGTAGATGTTTTTTGCCTGGTTCGGGATGCCCTGGACTAGAGCTAGCACAGAGCTAATCAGGCTTCATTCCCAGATGGGTTTTAGGATTGCCTTTGGGTTTTAGATCCATGTGCTGTACCTCGAGTAGCCACACAGGATTCAACTACTCCCTTGTAAGGCCACTCAGATTCTACTGACGCTAATGTAACCATGAAAGGTCGTGTTTACAACAGAACTTGGCCTCTTAGCAATGCTAGGCTTACTCAGTGCAGGTCAAATCGATCCACATCACCTGCTCTGGGATGTACTATCTTATGGTTTACGTGTGTATGTCCTTTTTTTTTACATAAATACTGTGAAGTATGGCTGCCACAACTTTTATTTGTTTCATTTACATACCTTTCCTATAACCAGTGGGCAAAAAAGGCTAACTCAGCAGGCCTGGGCTGCTCAAATCCTCACATTTCAGAAACAGCCTGTCTTCAGAACTGTTAACATATGTTTTGCTAACATATATTTTATGGCAACTGTAATTAAAAATAAAACAAATAAATTTTTTTAAAAAATTTTAAAGAACAAAAAAGAAATGGCTGTTTAAAAACTCTGGTGTGATCATCTCTGAGCCCCTGAAAAATTCTGCCTTTCAGGGTGTTTTGTATGCCAGAGGCCTTGGCCCACACCGTACCAGTTTGATGAGATAAATTGATCCTAAGAATACGACTTATGGTGAATGTCTAGGTCGGCTGAGGGTCAGGGTGGGAGGGCTGGGGTCTGAGTGGCTGAGGTCAGTCACGCAGGCACTGCATGACCTCTAGTAAAATCCCTAGACAGCAAGGCTCAAGGAGCTTCCCTGGTCGGCAACACTTCACACATGTTATGACACATCACTGCTGGTAGAATGAGGCACGTCCCCACACCACTCCACCCGAAGGGGACACCTGAAAGCTGTGCCTGGTTTCTCCACAAGTCTGCCCCACAAGCCTTCCACTGCACTGGTTCCTCAGCTGTATCCTTCTGCTGTAATAAAGTACAACCGTGAGAATAGCAGCTTTCCTCTGAGTCCTTTTAGTGAATCATCGAGCCTAAGGGTGGCCTTGGGGACCTCTTATACAACCAAGATTTTTATTTCTTTAAAATAATGCCTTACCTTATACTGAATATCCTGAAGGATTTCAGTCACAGCCTTTAGGCCTACATGTTCTTTTCCTATCTGAAATACATAAAGCATAAACAATAACCACAAAAGTATTAAATACTAGCTTTTACTCAAAAAACTGATTATAGAAGTAATGATCAAGTCCACCTGAATTTCCTTCTCAGGGAATAATTAAATGACCTTTTCATTAATAACCAGGCCAACATTTACTGAAGGTAATTAGAGCTGTAACAGAAGCTAGCACAATCATATATTAGATGCGTTCTTGGATGTTTCCAAGAATCCACTCTCAATTCATCATGCTATGTATAAGGCACTGGGCTGCAAATATATCAGTCATATATCAGAGCAATATAAACATTTCAAAGATGTTTCTAAATCAAAATTATCCTTTACATGCCTAAACCCTTCTATGTTTATCTCTGGTATTTCTAGATCATTAATAGGAAGATTTTATCAATGTTGAAAAATTGTATTAACTCAGAAAAGTGGGTGTGTGATTTTTATATGCTAGAACCACTGATATCAGGACAACTTGACTACTGGACATAATTTCTATAATCTTTGTAGTCTCAGATAATAATATGCTGTTCATGATTTTCTGTTTTAAAACATTTTATATCATTACATCTTTTTCATATATAAAATGTTCCAGTGAACTTGAGACTTTAAGAAAATCTTACATTATCTTGACCTTACTTTTAAAAATTATAAGTGCAATCTGATTTCCACTTTTCAACCAAGTTTAACAGCCCATGATAATGGAGTGCAGTAATAGAAGAGGTAATTTATAACCTCAGATAATCATCATCACTTGCTTTTTCTCTTCCACATAAATTTTTAGAGAATGACTGATAAGGAGCTAGAATAGTTGTCAACATGTTGATATTCTCTGTCTCTCTCTATGTGAACCAATTGTGAAACATGCTAGGTGAAAGGGCATCAAAGAGAAAGGAAAAGAAGTAAGAAATCTGCATAATCTAAAATATGCCAATCAGTTCCAAATAATCAAGACTGTATTTTCCAAGTGTTTGAAATTCATACTAGAGGCTCTAAAAACAGAAAAATTAAGAAAATTTAATTAAGAAAATTAAATTAAGAAAAGAATACCTGAGGTAACTGTATTCATGAGTGAAAAATGTGGACCTTTAAGTAGAAGCCTTCACCAGGTCTTCAGGGAAAAAGGACCTTTCTTGGTTTTATTGGTTAACCGTGATATAACATTTGGATGTCTACACCTACAGTTGAGGGTTTGTGTTCATTTTCCATATCTCTGTCAGATTATAACCATGAAGAGTCTACATATGAATGTGTAAGGCCACATAAAGTAGTGGTTGGGGAGCAAGGTCACTCAGATTGGATGCCTGCGCTCAGATTCTGACTCACTTTTTAGTTGTTAGCAAGCTTACTTAATCTCTCTGCCTCATCTCTACAGATAGATGCAGAGGATAAAAGTGATAGGATTGAAGACAAGACTAAATCAAAGACCTTAGAAAAGGGCATGGTGCATTATAATTCAATTACTATCACCTATATCATTCTTATTCAGAATGTGATAGAGTATCAAATAACTTTTACATATAGTAGCCCTTAATAACTATTACTGGCTCCTTTTATCTATCAAGATTATCTTATGGGAAAGCTTTATATCTAGTCACAAACTCGATCTATCAATATTATACCATCTTTTCCTTTTCCTCCTCTGACAAATTTTGGTCTGCAGAGGTTAAACCACCAAAAAGCAAGTACAGATGATACTCTTGCACACCCCAGCCCTAAAACCCTACAGTGGTCCAGGGGACAACACACCTGGTGCCACAAGTCCCCCGGGAGCCATGAGACAATTACCTTCTTACCTCTCACCTTTGACATCTTTCACCAACACCCAAAAGGCAAACCCTCTGGTCAGTTTCCCCGCCTAGAATCTCAGCCCTGCTTGGCCCTGTATTTTTCCACCTTCTCTCATTTCCCTCTGTGCCCTCTAGCACAGGATGACTCCACGTCTTTGACTAGCTCTCCTATCACCTCCTGGTCTATTCAAACGCCCTCAGGTCTACCACAGTCACAGCTCTCCTTTGCCTTTTGAGTGGACACCATGTAGTCTCCCTCACAGAAGTCTGAAGGCTGTGGTCAGTGCCCTATTACCTTCAGACCTACATGCGTAGGGCTGTCCTCTGAGTGGACCATCCGCCACTGATGCTATCATGTTCTAAACTTGTCATTTACTGATCCACTGGTCACTCCCTTGCAGTCAGCACCCCCTGCCATCACTCCGGAGGATTTCAACATCCATGTTAGTGACCTGTCCCCTCAGTTCATGGCTTTCAGCCCCACTCTACCTCTGCAAACCAATCCTAAGAACACACCCTGGCTTTGTTTTCACTCTGAAAACTTCTCACCTGTCCAGCTCTCTCCCTCTTTTCTCCCTCTTTCCATTAATGGAACACAAGGAGCCAAGACTCTCCGGAGGCTCTTGGCTTTGTCTCTTCCTGCCTACACTGAATGACATCTCTTCAAACACTCTCAGTTCTCTAATCCTTCTGTCCTCCTAAATCATCAGCTATGCAATGGACCAAGGAACAATTTGCTAGAATTTTCTACTCCTCTACCTGGATAGAGAAAAATCCACAATACATTGTCCTGTAGAATCGAGGATATCCAATCTCAAGTGGGTCTCCCACACCCACTGTTAAGTCTATTATCATTCTTCTACCGAGCTATTTAAAAACCCAATCCAAAACTCACATTTCCTTTTCTCTATAAATAATTTTGCTTTGTATCTCAGAGATAATAAGAGTCATCAGGCATGAACTCCCCTAATTTCCTGCCTTTTTTGCCTACAAATTAATCCCATTTCTACCCACCTTTTCCTCCTGGCCCTCTATTTTGAAGGAAGGGTGGGTCCCCTCCTATCCAAGTTTAGTCCATACGCACATGTTCTCCACCCTCCGCCCTCCTGCCCCCTCCAGGAATTCCTATGTCCATTATCCCCTTTCTTGCTGGTATTTTTAAACCCTACATCTGAACTAGCTCTATTGGCTCAGAATAAAAACACAGGCAAATCTCAGATCTCAAAATGAAACAAACAGGCCTTCTCTACAACCCCACATTGTGACAACTTTTGTCTTTCTCCTCTTGCTTCTTGAAAGGGACATCTATACTCACTGCCTCTGACCCTCTCCCCTCCCATTTTTCTCACCTAAGTTGCGAGACCACTGGGTGGACTTCAGCCCCTCTCCTCTCCGCTTCCACTGACAATCCTGATCAGCCCTTCTTTCCTTCATGAAATTTTGCTCCCATGGGTTGTGTAATTTTCCTTTCTTCTGAAAGGCATTTTCACATAGATAACCCGAGTGTGTCCCCATAGCAAATGTATGGCAAGTTAGAACAAGCGCTCGTGCTCTCGAGCCTCCCATGGCTTCCAATATTGAGGTTGTTCCTAGAGATACTCATGCTAGTTTCAAAAGTCTTGGCTTTCCATCCAATGCTCTGATAGTCTCTGCTCTTCTGCATGTGACTATTTAGTTATTGGTATTCTTACTTTTATTTTATTGTATTATTTTTTTAAAGGATGAGACATTGCCTTCTATTCCTGGGACCACACAGAGAAGAAGAATGGTTTCTGGTCCTGACTGGTGACAGCAAATCACTGTGTGACTATAAACAATGACTTGCCCTCTCGGGCCCTTGGTTCCTCATCCTTGAGATAAATCTTTCATCACATCTAGTATAAACTAAGGCACAATTTAAAAGATTCATCCTAGGAACTAGATTAAATTTTTACCTTTTAAAACATATGGTCCACCTTAGTACATGTCACTAAATTTATATAATATCCTTTGTCCACCACAGAGGTCAAATCTAAACTTAATATTGACTCTATCTACCAAAGTCTTTGCCAGTTTTATTTTATCAATGTTTTCTAGAAGGCATTTCAAATTATCTTGGAGTAAAAATTATTAATAACAAAGAACAAAAGGAATCTACTACATGATTACATTATTGATTTTTCTAACATTTTGCAGTCAGCCAAAGTCCAAAAACATTTCAAATTCTTTTTCATGGATAAAATGAACCCTGCTTTCAGAAGGTATTTTCTAAATCATTTCTCCAAAGCCCTTGAATGGCACTCTGAACAAAATTTCTAATAAGTAAATGAACCAGTTGCTACCAATGAATATGGCTGCTCTCTCATGACTCAGAAAGATCAAGTTTTGTACTGTTAAATTATCGGTGTTCTCCATATATGTGGTTTATTTTATTTTTTATTTTTATTTTTTGACTATAGAGAGGGGAAGGGGGAGAAAGAAACATCAATTTATTGTTCCACTTATTTATGCATTTATTGGTTAATTCTTGTACTCGTATATACCCTGACTGGGGATGGAACCTGCAACCTTGGCTTATCAGGACAATGATCTAACCAACAGCCAAGGCTGCATATGTGTTTAATATCACCACCATGTCGTAAACCTGAGGCAGACCAAAAAATATTCTGGGTTCCCATTCAAGATGGCAGTGTAGGAAAATGCTGAGCTCACCTCCTTCTACAAACACAAAGAATCTACAACTACACAAGGAATAATTCCCTCTGAAGGGGACCTGGAAACGGAATGAGTAGAGCCTCCACAGCAAGGGACAGCACCAAGAAGGGTAGGAGAGGTAGAAATACAGTCGGTTCAGGGAAAAACCACACCCCAGCAGAGGTGTTCCACAGTCGGGAGGGAGCTCGAAGATATGCAACTTTGCACTGAGGAGCCAGGGATTCAAGCTCTGCATCAGCACAGGATCTTACACAGGAGAAAGGAGCCGCCCAAACACCCGGCCTTCAAAATCAATGGAGAATACGTCCAGGAAAACTACAGAACTGTAGAAAAAGAAAAACCTGCCCTGAAAGGGCTCACACACAAAGACTCACTTGATTCAGAAATCAGTACAAAAACAACAGAGAGAAAAGCACATAGGCTGTAAGGTTAAGAGTTCAACTTGCTAATCTTGAAGTGCTTGCTGGAAAGGCAGGAAGCAGCTGAGACTTTCTCTGGAGACTGAGACAC